ACATGATTTGATTGAAAGTGTTGATTTTAGATCCATTTTCACAATTACAATGCCAATGTCATATCCTCTACTTATGTAATTTTCTCCAAAGCCATTAACAATTGACACTTTCCTTTACTAACCCACAAACAAAAACCCCCCAACAAATCCAACAATTGCACACCCCCTCTTTCTTGATGATATCACTAGAATGCCCATTTTTTTCTCAAAGGCCAAAAATGATGAACACAATCAAAAGTAAATATAAAATACATATTCTTATAATATAGTAAAATTAATTTCTTTTCATTCTCAAAACATATTACTCAAGAAATCACAACAATAGAAGTTCTCCATTTACATAACAATCAAAATCTCCCTCTTTCAATGATTCAAATTCCATTAATCCCCATTAAAAATTTTTATATATAAAAATGTAAAAAAGAAGAATTAGATGATATGTACTATGATGGAAAATTACGGAAAGGGAAAAATTGAGTATTTATTATGGTTGTTTTACTGCCGGCGGCTCTCTCTGAGAGGGACTTCTCCAAAACCCAGCGCCGTAGAAAGTGTCCCACATCTCCTTCTCCAGCTCCACAATGGCCTTCTCAGTGTCCTTGGAGCCGGACCTGATGTCAAACTCCTCGTAACAAACCACCGGGTGAACATGCAGCTCCGTCTCGTCACAGCCGCACTGGAACCGCCGATGCCGCGGCTGCATCGTTCCCTTCTTCAAGAGTCTCTGCTGCCGCTTGTATCGGAGGGCGCGGCGGCAAAGACCCGCGGGGACCTTGTAGATTGCCAGCACCAACAGCTCCACTATACCGCAGGGGCAGCAGCAACAGACCGCAGTGCATTCCGCCACCGTTCCCCCGCACACCTCCGCGAACCTCGCAGACTTGCTCGTACGAGTGACGCCGTGTCTGCTGCTGCTGCTGCTGCTGTTGGCGACGCTGGAGACATTAGAGCGGGTGTACAGCAGCGGTCGCGATCTGTCCACGGTCATTAATTGGCGCCGGAGGATTAATTGGCGCGACGGGGACAACGACATCAGTAGAATTAACTTAGTTCCCCGGCAAAAACTCAAGAAATTAACTGCAATTAGTCCATCTATTGGAAATTCAATTGAACCCACAAAAGGAAATCTCGAATTACGTCGAACATATATCTAAACCTTGAATTTACTGATTCTCCGATCAGGGTCTGGCCGGCGATCCCGAACAAGGAAAGGAAATGATGAAGAAAAGGGGAGATTCCAATTCCTTGTTCGAGGATCCTGGGGGGGAAAAGGAGAACCTGAAGAGTGTTAAAGAAAAGGAAGGAGGTCCCTGAGAATCAACGGCTAAAATAGAAGGGCTTAAATGTCGGCGGAGGAGAGGGTTTGGGAATTTGACGGGTTCCGGACGG